GAAATGGGGAAAATTGGTTCTACGGTGAAAATTCATGTAATCTTGAAAATGTTAATGATTTTAACTATTAAGGTGTTACTTTTAACTATACAGGAAATGTTTCATTAAATACCCAACATTTGTATGGTAAAGGTCTTAAAGCAATGGGTACACTCATAGCAAATTTAAAGAAACACGATACGCTGCCGAAAGTAGCCTTACAACTATTTGATTCGTTTGTTAAGTCTACAGTAAACTATAGATGTGAAATATGGGGTTTTGTGAAATCAAAACAATTAGAAACTTTACATATTAAATTCTGTAAGACATTATTGGGAGTGAGACAGTCGTCATGTAATACTGCTGTTTACGGAGAGTTAGGGAGATATCCCTTGTACATAAATAGATATGTCAGTATAGTTAAATACTGGCTCAAATTATGCCATAGTGAAAATGTTATTATAAAGGCTATATTTGAGTCGGACTTAATTGATTGTTTAAATGGTAAATCCAATTGGTTTACAAATGTAAAAACTCTATTGTCTAAATATGGATTTTTATATAAATGGAATGAAGTTATAATCACTAGAAATGTAAGCCTTCCTATCGATTATGCGTTTCTTAGTATGTTTAAGCAACGTTTGATAGACGAATTTACACAAGAATGGCGAACTAGTATCAACAATATGGAGGTTTTAAATTTGTATAAATATGTATAAGATACATTAGAAATGGAACCCTATTTAAACAATATCACATCTCGTAACTTACGGATCGGATTGACAAAGTTGCGTATATCCGCACATAGTCTAAGAATCCAGACCGGCAGATATGGGAAAGATAGATTAGAGAGAAATCTTAGAGTATGTCAAATGTGTAATGGTAATGAAATAGAAGACGAGTTCCATTTTGTTTTTAATTGCCCGGCATATCATTCTATTAGACTAAAGTATATCAAAACTTTTTTTAGAACAAAGCCAAGTATGTTTAAATTTACACAATTGTTGTCATCTAAAAACAAGTCAAATATTGTCATGTTAGCAAAATTTAAACATGAATCACTAGAAATACGTACGAGTAGATTATTACGATCCAACAACTGAATTACATTTATTTGTTTGTAATATATCATTTGTAAATATGATGCTTGTTAATGACAAATATTTTAAAATTTATAGATTGTATAAAGCACATCCTAAATGCATTTTTCAGAAATATATAATTTATAGCAAAGAAAATTGTATATATCAAAATTGTGTGTATAAGAGTGTGAGCAAACGATGGATTAGAGTATTTAAAAAAATCATCAACAGAAAGAAAAGCAATCGCTTATATCGGGCGAATTTTTATATTATGCTACATTCATTAAAGAAAAAAGTAAAGTTAATGTTATTACGAAAAATGCATATTATATGATAGTAATCCAACGAGTGCTCAATGATTTAATTATAACTTATACCTTTAATATGGCATTGTATTTTGCATATGAAACAAATAGAAACATTTGGTATCTTTTTTCATCAATCGAATTGTTTGTAGAATATTAATTAAATGGCATGAAAAGCATAAAGCAAGCGAAATAATATATTATACATATTATACTGATTTAAAATTAAATAATTCTAACGCAAACATGCTATTATAAATTTTCGCGAAACAAATTGATACCATGATGTTTCTTATTACTTCTGATGATATATGACATGATATAAAACAAACATGGTTACATGTATTGTCCATCACCATAAATATGAGATCAATTTAATTTATTATATAATTATATCCTAATCTTTTTAGTATACATAATTGATATTTGTCACAATTGTATGTTCTATGTACACCTGTATGTTAATTTGTAAAATGTAGTGGCTAGTCACTAGAAACTGTAAAGTTTATGTGAAATAAATTTGTTCGTTCGTTCGTTCGTTCGTTGTTATTTGCAAACTTTTACAATATCATTTAACCAGGACGTTTTAGTATTATAACGTTTTTGAACCATGACATAGTTAATCATATGAAATTATCGTTATTTAAGTTACTTTTTTATACCAATTTCATCAAAGTTTATTAATTTTGTGAAGTGACAATTAAATAGTGTACGTAACGTGCATTTTAATGTTTTAGGAGAAACTGGATAAAATGTGTGGTATTTCATAACCCATTTTAACTTATCAAGAGTTTGAAACATTATTTAAATATATTAATGTGACTTAAAAAGTTTCTGCTTGGCATCACAGTCAATTCGGATAAAGGTTAAAATTAGGAAAACTGAAAATGCATTATCACTTGTTCCGACTTATTTTCAGAATAATAATTAACCTCTATTTTATATGTTATAAAGTTTCTTTAGTTTTTATAAGAACGATTTCAACAACAACAATTAAATTGACTTCTTTATTTGATTAAATATAATATTTTGACATTTTTTTTACCAAAACTTATCTCATTGTCTTGTCCGTGATCGTAAGGGGGATTCTTAAACAATCGTCTTTTCCGTGCCTTTTTGTGACAATTTTGGACACAAAGCTATACATGTATCTTTTGTGTTTGTTTTAAAAGCTTTTTTATATGATTTAAACTAACTCGGAATTGTCTATGAACTTCTACTACATTTCTATGTAGGGCAATGCATTTTTTTGCCCTTAAACAGATTGCGCATGCGATAAAAATACTACTTCCGGTAAATTTTTCATAGCAACGGACCGCGTAGTAAAAAGGTCTTTAGTGGTCACCTGTCTATAGTAGCCACTTCATATTGTGATATAGCTGACCATTCTTGACAGGTTATGCTGTAATATACCAGACTGTAGACTAAGTATACAAGACCCGTACACTCATACATTGTCATTGTTGTCTTGCATTATGTGTAAGGTGCATAGGAAATCCAGTACTGGTAATGAAACATCAAAATAAGATCATCATATACTGAAAACATAATGACCTATAATCGTGAAAGCCATTGCACATTTTCCTTATATGATCTAGATATACTGTAAAGCGGACTTGATAATACATACTGGAGAGAATAGAAATATTTTTTTTTTAAAAATATTGCAATATGTTATGAAGAGACTTCTTGATAATACATACAAGAGAGAAGCAGTGCATCCTGTAGAGGGAACTTAAAACATACATGTCCAACATAATAGGACAATGCACTGTTGAAAGAAGTTGTGTAACACATCAACAACAGCATCCTGTAATGATTTCAGAATACAACCAGAGAGAATGGGAATATACTGCAAAGCCAAAAAGGATTTGAGTATACATACCAGAGATTCACCAAATTCTGATGAGCTATCTTGAGAGGACATATATTGTCAGCTCGACTATTCGAAGAATAATGAGAGCTTTTCTAGGGACCCCAGCGTCGGCGTTGGCATAATTATAAATGTTAAAGTTTTGGTACACCCCCATTTATTTTCAAAGTCCCTTGAGATATTGTTCTGAAACATTCCAGACTTGTTACCATCATGATCCCAATCTATAGACAAAATTATCAAGCATTTCATCAAAATAATGCGCCTTTTTCCACTTAGAAAAATGATAAATTCATGAAAAGTTTTGGTATAACCCCAAATGTTATTAAAGTGCATTGAGATATTGCTTTGATACATTGCACTTTCAATAAGGACCATGGCACAGACCAGCAAACAAGATGAGATCTAGCAAGCTTTGTTGGCCAAATTATACCCTTTTTCGATTTAGATTCTTGTTAAATTTACGTTAATGTTCAGATATTTCAAAGTGCATTGATTTTTGTTTGTTTGTTTTGTTTCGTTTTTACGCCCGTTTTCAACAACCTTTCAGTTATATCAGGCGGATAGTTACCTTACAAACGTTTCTGGGAATAACCAGTACTAGAAACCCATCGTCCACAAGTAACTGCCAACTTTCGTCACATAAAGACACTTGGTCGAAACGGAGTTTCAGACCCACGCCCCTATCAGTAACACGCTTTTTTATTACAAGTCGGCGACTGTACCAAAGGGCTCTAAGATATTGTTTTGATACTTTGCACTGTTCTTTTACCTCATAATTCAAAGCTTTAGACAGGGGCAGGTCACGCTGTCGTACATTTTGTCACAAATATGCCTCATATTCGACTTAGAATATTATATTATCAAGAATTGAGAAAAGTCGAGCGCGCGCTGTCAAGTAACAGCTTTTGTTTACACGAGTGGTGGTACTTGTTTTATGCATGTATTAACAAAGCTATCACCAAGATATTAAGTCTAGTGGCAGACAAACGGACAGACCGGTGATTCAAATAATTTGATTCCGTTATTTGCTCTAACCCAATAAGACGATCTGATTATTGACTACAAGTGCTGGATAAGTCTAGTTTGATAATGAAGGAAAGCATTTGAAAACATTTCCATGACAGAGTTTATTTGATGAAATTATTGAACACGAACAAAATAGACATTAAAGAAAGAAACTGTACAAACAACAACATTTCACTTGAGCAATCAAGCTGGCATGAATAATAATGCTTTTCTCGACACTGTGTCACATATTAGAATGTTTAAAATATTAAAGGGATAAAAGAGTTGCAACAAAACGATACTCGTGTAAATAAAAACAAGACATTTTTGCTAGAAAAATTAAATTTGAAGTTCGCTGTTGCTATAATATTATATCATGGTATTGTACAACAAACGGAAGCATTTTTGATACGTTATGACACTCGAAATCACTACGTCAGGGAATCGCTCTACGAATGCATCGCGGAGCCTTGCTCACTTTGTGCTTTGAGCGTTTCTGGGCCTCGAACAAAGAATGAAAGTTAGTAAACAATGCTTAAAAATGTTCCTTTTTATAAAGTATACAGTAGCTTATTTAAAATTTTTAAACATAGTACAATTTTAAAAACAAAGGTATTTTCAACAAATAGCTTTTCGAATATCCTCGTTCTTAAAACGATTCGACAAAGTACTATTGATGTGTGAATAGAGAATCTATTTCGCCACAGTATTTTTTTCGAAAAAGTACAGTTTTCTTTATAGAATACATCTTAATTAATTTCGGGTAGAACTATGTTTTAATATTCTTTAAATATGCTGCTAGATCAAAAGAAAAAATACCCTAAGCACTGCGGTGCATCTATCGGTGCGATTCCCTGACGTGTTAAAGTTACGAAGTTTAAAAATATGTTGAAACAGTGGACTCTCAAGGAAACGTTATACATATATAATGTTCAGTATATAATGCTTTTTCACCAACAGAAAAAAAGGATGTTTAAGTAAGCATGATGAAACAGCTTTTGTTAGATCCCTGATGAACCTAATAATGACTGTTGAATCTCAAAAGGTTCCAAGGTTTAAAATAGTTTCAATATATATGTATGCCCTGTATGCATTCCTTGTTACTTTATAGGTTATCAAGGTATTCTGATAATTCTTTAAATAAACGAATAGCGCTGTCAAGAGTGTGTGGCCGTGGAAGCTCATCTCTGTCCATGCCAGTTATTTCTTCAAGCAACTGAACAAATGTTTCTTTACAACCGAACGTTGGACACTTGGTTGTATAAATTTGAGCAATAATATCGATGTCATTAACTTCACATGGAAGTGGATATCCACAGTTAACACCATTATAAATTTGAAGCTGATAGTACAACACATTGGGTGACACACCACTGGACATTCGTTTTGAGGTTGACGACGAATTCGATGACATTTTCACATGTTTACTATTTCATCAAGATCTCTCTGTATTAAAAACATAAAACAGAATCGAACACATTCAGTGTGAATAGTGTCACCGTCATGCAAGTATCCAGAGTCGCGAAGATCTTTAAACAGATTTTTCCAAAACGTTGTGAAATTATTATTCAAAACACCCCAGAATCTTTCTATTCGTTTGTTTGATGTGGATCTTCCATACAAGAAGCTTTTTCTTCCAGACATAAGATCTCCGTGGTTGTATCGTAAAGCAATTTGAAGATCCCGAATCACACAGTTTTCAGTGCCTAAATCAGCTCGAACAATCATCGGAACTTGACGAATCGTCTTGATATAATTGAGGTAATACCTGGCAACTATCTTTGGGTCATTATTAGTATAAGCAGCTTGTAACCACAGAATCTTTCTTGAATAGCCGTCTATAGCTCCATGAATTGTTATGCCAAAGGGCTTAAGTTTATCGTAACCATCTATGTGAATAATATGATTTGGTCCCTTGTTGATATAAGTTCGTCTGCGTAGTCGATGTCTTGACCTTAAGGAAACACCAGATGGATCAATTGCTTTTAATATTCGCCTGACAGTGTCTTGAGTCGCATTAACTTTGTTTGATGACTTTAGTATTCTCCATATTGTACGGTATCCGGCATTTGCGAGACCTCTTCTGCGTAGCTTTCTTATCTCATTTAATACATCTGGAATTGGTGAAGAAAGACCATTTCGCCTTTGTCCTAATCGTTGGCATATATATCTTAACTGTCGTAGAGTCATCGCAATATTATGTGTTATCAACAAGAACCCACAAATCTCCTTCCATGTGTATCCTAGTCGGAAGTAGTATGTGACAAGATCATCCCTGAACGGATTGGCCGTAACCCCAGTTAATACAGCTTCCACACCCGGATGTTGAACTGAATACAGACATATATACGCCTGAAATGTAAAGATAAAGAATGTCCCGCAGTCAGTTATAATATATTGGTGATATATTGTATCATATATAATTTGAAAACATTTGGAATAACATACTTTAAGTTAACATGGTTGATGCACTGGCATTTTTATGTGATCATGTCCCATTATCGTATAAAACATTCTTTTAAATAAAAAAGTTACTTAAATAAACAATCAATCAATCAATCAATCAATCATAAATCAAGGATAATTTCTTACCAAAAATATCAGAAAATGCAGCACTTCCATTGTCAAATCCTGTAAGAAGCGAGCGTATCTGTACTTTCTTTTTATAATGAATTCTATTACCATTAGTGTTGCTGAAATATTGTACACAAGCGAGTTATTTTACGAATTCATGATAAAGTAAAAAGCTCCTGGTATATTTTTTGTGAACAAATGGGAAACAAAATGTCGACATTGCAGTTTTTCTCGTTTCGTGACTTCAGGTAACTAACTTGTGTTCAGAAAATATCTCAAAGTGCTAATTGAATAATGTCGACATTGCAGTTTTTCTCGTTTCGTGAATTCAGGTAACTAACTTGTGTTCAGAAAATATCTCAAAGTGCTAATTAAATAATGTCGAGAAAATCGAAAGTTATTTCTGCGCCTTATAGTAACACACTTGTCGACAAAATTTTTAATTTCATAACACATTCAAGGCATCAAAACGTCAAAAAATATGTGCAAAAACTTGATGGTAACACGTCAAATCGCGAAAATATAAGTCGACATTACCACCTCTATATAGACAAGTAGATTGTCATTATACGCTTCAATAGTAAACACTATGCAGTAAGGCAGTTGGCAGTAGACACAGTAAGGCAGTAGATCACTAGGCAGTACCAAGGCAGTTAGGCAGTAGACACAGGCCACTAAGGCAGTTGCAGTAGACCACCTAGGCAGTTGGCAGTAGAGTTGGCAGTAGACACTAGGCAGTATGCAGTAAGGCAGTTGGCAGTAGACACTATGCAGTATAAGCAGTTTGTCAGTAGACACTAGGCAGTATGCATAAGGCAGTAGACACTAGGCAGTATGCACTAAGGCAGTAAGGAGTAGACACTAGGCAGTATGCAGTAAGGCAGTAGTACACTAGGCAGTATGCAGTAAAGGCAGTAGCAGTAGATACTTTCTCAGGAACTACTTATTAGCAGTAAGATACTAGCAGTAGCAGTAAGGACAGTACACTATGCAGTATGCAGTAAGGCAGTTGGCAGTAGACCACTATGCCAGTATGCAGTAAGGAGTTGGCAGTAGACACTAGCAGTATGCAGTAAGGGCGGTAGTACACTAGCAGTATGCAGTAGACACTATGCAGTATGCAGTAAGGCAGTTGGCAGTAGACACTAGCAGTATAGCAGTTAGTATGGCGCTCTCGTCTATGGTATTCCGTACATAACAGTTTCAATATGTACGTTGACTAAATGATTTTACTTTCACTCGTATGGAACGCCGTGACTGTCTTATGTAATCAATGTTTTTGTTATCTTGTGAAACGATGCTATTATTTTGTCGTTTGAGCATGTTAACATGTGCAATTTACATCATGTCTTGTCAAAGGAACATGCTGATTGTACAAACAGCATGTGGTAACTTGTCACATTATTATGATGACATGTGCAGACAACATGCTAAACTTGTCAAAGTATCGTGAATGACTTGTGCAAACAACATGTTAACTTGTCAAAGTATAATGATGACTTGTGCAAATGACACGGTAACTTGTCAAAATGTAATGATGACTTGTGCAAACGACATGTTAACTTGTCGAATTATTGTGATGACATGTGCAAACAGCATGTTAACTTGTCAAAGTATCATGATGGCTTGTGCAAACGCCATGCTAACTTGTCAAAGTATAATGATGACTTGTTTCAAACGACATGTTAACTTGTCGAATTATCGTGATGACATGTGCAAACAGCATGTTAACTTGTCAAAGTATCATGATAAACTTGTGCAAACAGCATGTTAACATGTCAAATTACCATGATGACTTGTGAAGACAACATGTGAACTTGTCAAAGAATCGTGATGACTTTTGCAAATGACATGTTATCTTGTATCATGCTGACATGTCAAAACGTTACTGTTAACTTGTCAAAGTATTATGATAACTTGTGCAAATGCCATGCTTTCATGTCAAAATTCCATGATGACTGTGTAAAACAGCATGTTAACTTGTCGAATTATCGTTATGACATGTGCATACAGCATGTTAACTTGTCCAAGTATCATGATGACTTGTGCAAACGACATGTTTTAACTTGTCCAAGTTATAATGATGACTTGTGCAAATGCCATGCTAACTTGTCAAAATTCCATGATGACATGTTGCAAACAGTATGTTAACTTTTGTCAAATCATCGTCATAACATGTGCAAACAACATGCTAACTTGGTCCAAGTATCATGGGACTTGTGAAAGCGACATGTTAACTTATCAAAATTTCATGATGACATGTGCAAACAGCATGTTAACTTGTCAAGGTATTCGTGAAGACTTGTGCAAATCCATTCTAACTTGTCAAGCTGTATCATGATCACTTGTGCAAATGCCAAGCCAGTTAACTTGTCAAATTATCATGATGACTTGTGCAGACAACATGTTAATTTGTCAAAAAATCGTGATGACTTGTGCAAAACACATGTTTTTAGAGGTATTATGAGCATGTCATCACGATAATTCGAACAAGTTAACATGCTGTTTGCACATGTCATCATTGAAATTCTGACAAGTTAACATGTCGTTTGCACAAGTCATCATGATACTTTGACAAGTTAAAAATGTTGTCTGCACATGTCATAATAATTATTTGACAATTTAAACATGTGTTTGATGAAAATTGGGCACATTTTAAATTATGCAAAAAAAATTGCCAAAATATTTCTTTCATTTCAAAAAATGGGCAAAACTTTAATGAAAAAAGGACAGTAGGGCGCCCCCTACACTGCTTTCGATATAATTTTTAAAATTTTCCCATATTAGCCTTAACCAAAAAAACCCGAGTTTTTTTAGGGACCCAAAAAAAGTTTAAATTTTGAAAATTTTGAAAAGGCTGAAAACCCCCCCCTTTTGCATGGGTTCCAATTTAAAGGTTAAAGGGTCGACTTTGGGACATTACTTTAAAAAACTTGTTTAGTTGTATTTGCGTTTACCTAAATTTTGTAAACAAATTAATCTAAAAGTATGTTCTAGGTTGAGCTGAGCTAAAACAGCTATATATATCACTGCTGTCATTTTCACTTTAAGAACAAAAACGGCTGTATTAAAACAACTTTTCTTTCCCTCTTAAATTCACCGACATATGGTGTACTTATATTTAAGAAATAATATATCCCAAACTGTGATTTTATTGCTCAATAACATCACTGTTTGGAGTTCGGATGCGGGGAATTATATCACGAGGCGCATCCGAACGACAAACAGTGATGTTATCAAGCAATAATATCACCGATTTGGATATATTATTTCGATTCTAACACATCAACAAATAAATGCTGCCGTACATTATAATTAGCTTAATTGCGCCTGATTTGTTTCCGTACTTATTGTCAGCGCGTCACATTTTTAGTGGTTACGTCACGTGTATAATGATTTACGTCACATGTCTAATATTTATAGAACGTCAAACAGGCTGATTTTTAATAGCTTAAACAACACTTTTCGGTTTTTCTATGTTAAATAGGGAAAAAAATGCGGGTCCGTGTTTAGAAATTTTAATATTAGAGGGTTTGGTTAACAACGTGTTTGTTTAATTATAATGTTTGTAAAGAAACGTTGTTATTTGCTAAAAGGAAAAAATGAAAACAAACAAAAATTGGATTCAAAAGCTTTATCTTAGTCCACACTAGGGAATGATAACAATGACATGACGGTTTTTATGGAAACTGCAACCGATACAAATAGAAAAACGGAACCCAACATTTGGTAATGCAAAAAACCACATACAATTTCAATATGATACCTTAAATAATAAGCAAATTGTTATTTCTTTGGTTGATATAGAGGTAATGAATTAGGTTTGGTGCCTGGTGGAGCAAAGTTTATCTGGCGAGGCGGAGGAATTTATTGGGTGGAGCCGAAGGCGAACCCAATAAATTTCGGAGCAGAGCAAGATAAACTTTCTCCATCCACGGCACCAATCTTTTATTCTGTTTATCCTGTCACCGTTTTTTTTTTAAATAATTTTATTAGGCAAACTACCTTTAAACACACTATCGGAAATGTTTCTATAGGATATGAACAAAGAAGGCCCGAAGCGTGCATTGTTGTAGCAATGCACTCGCCGTTCTTATTACTCCCCTGTGTATTTTCACATTGAGGGTGCCATTTTGTTTGAAAATTGTGATAAATAAAAACAATTTTTTTGTCGAATTTTGTTGGTGAAAACTATCTAGAATGAAAGAAAATGGTCTAACTAAGGAAAAATGAATTCGAACACACATATCTTTTATTCAGTCTTGTTA